CTCCTCTCTCCTCTCTCCTCTCTCCTCTCTCCTCTCTCCTCTCCTCTTTTTTCTCCTCTCCTCTCCTCTCTCCTGTCCCCTCTCCTCTCCTCTCTCAAGGACACAGCCGTTCTTGCAGCGTTCGTACCTTCCCGACTGTGTTCCTCTCCCTCTTACTCTTCCCTTTCTTCTTCCTTTTTCTTCTCCACCTCTCAAAACCTATCGTTTTTCAGCGCTTTAACTTGAATTCTGCTCATTCCTCTTCTGAGAGGCATGAATGCACTGTCAATAGCAAGGAAATAGCCGTTCTTGCAGTGTTCGTACCTTCCTGTTAGTTTTCCTCTTCCTCTTGCTCTTCCCTTCCAAGTCCTTTCTCCCAGTGAATACCATATTGGTACCAGTATTGGTGCTCTTGGTGGTGGTAGTAGCACTTCGTACTAGTCGCGGTGCTGGTAGTATAGTAGTGCTAGTAGCAGTCGCGCGATTTGTGGTAAACCAATCAAAACCTATCGTTTTTTCTACGTTTTTGCTCTCCCAAATCCTTTCTCCCACTGAAAACCACATTGGTCGTAGTGGTCTTGGTGGTGGTAGTAGTAGTAGTAGTACTGGTAGTAGTAGTAGTAGTAGTGGTAGTGGTGGTGCTAGTAGTGGTCCGGTAATCCAATCCAGTGGGACAAACGCAAAACCGATCGTTTTTTCTACCTCTTTGCCCTCCCAAGTCGTTTTCGGGGCAGGCGCAGCACTTTGTGAACCTCGAAGTGCAGATTTCGTGGCAGGCGCAGCATCTGTGGAGCTGGAAGCTGGGAACTGGCGACTTTGTAGTGCAACTTTAGTACGCGGAGTATCTGCGGAGCTGGACGATGAGAACTGGCGACTTTGTAGTGCAACCTTAGTACGCGGAGCAATCTGTGGAGCTGGAAGATGAGAACTGGCGACTTTGTAGTACAACTTTAGTACGCGGAGTGTCTGCGGAGCTGGACGATGAGAACTGGCGACTTTGTAGTGCAACTTTAGTACGCGGAGCAATCTGTGGAGCTGGAAGCTGAGAACTGGCGACTTTGTAGTACAACTTTAGTACGCGGAGTATCTGGGGAGCTGGAAGCTGAGAACTGGCGACTTTGTAGTACAACTTTAGTACGCGGAGTAATCTGTGGAGCTGGAAGCTGAGAACTGGCGACTTTGTAGTACAACTTTAGTACGCGGAGCAACCTGGGGAGCTGGAAGATGAGAACTGGCGACTTTGTAGTACAACTTTAGTACGCGGAGTATCTGGGGAGCTGGAAGCTGAGAACTGGCGACTTTCTAGGACAACTTTAGTACGCGGAGCAATCTGTGGAGCTGGAAGCTGAGAACTGGCGACTTTGTAGTACAACTTTAGTACGCGGAGTATCTGGGGAGCTGGAAGATGAGAACTGGCGACTTTGCAGTACTACTTTAGTACGCGGAGCAATCTGTGGAGCTGGAAGCTGAGAACTGGCGACTTTGTAGTGCAACTTTAGTACGCGGAGCATCTGGGGAGCTGGAAGCTGAGAACTGGCGACTTTGTAGTACAACTTTAGTACGCGGAGCAATCTGTGGAGCTGGAAGCTGAGAACTGGCGACTTTGTAGTGCAACTTTAGTATGCGGAGTATCTGGGGAGCTGGAAGATGAGAACTGGCGACTTTGTAGTGCAACTTTAGTACGCGGAGTATCTGGGGAGCTGGAAGATGAGAACTGGCGACTTTCTAGTACAACTTTAGTACGAAGAGCAATCTGTGGAGCTGGAAGCTGAGAACTGGCGACTTTGTAGTACAACTCTAGTACGCGGAGCAAGCCGTGGAGCTGGAAGCTGAGAACTGGCGACTTTGTAGTACAACTTTAGCACGCGGCTGAGTCATCTCTATTCTGTATTTTGCAAAGTGCGAGACAGTTCACGGTGGTTGCTTCGCTTTCGCTCCATTGGTCGGTTCCAACTTGTTTTGTCAAAGACCATCGCAGCTCGGCGAATGAGCCTGCCACATGCCCACTTCCTATAGGTTTATTCTTTTGGAAAAACTTCCGCCGCCGGCTTGCCCGGGAACTACTTGTAATACTAGTTGTAGTAGTGGTACTACTACTACTACTACTACTACTACTACTACTTCTGCTACTACTACTACTAGCGGTAGTGGTAGTGGTAGTGGTAGTGGTAGTGGTAGTGGTAGTGGTAG